AAGCAAGGACATAAGCAGATCTATCGAGAAATCTCCTTCTCTGAAAATGGAGTGAGTAAATAGTTACAACTAAACACACACAATGCATATATTTTAATAAGTTTGTAAGCAATATTTGAAATATTAGCGTTGAACAAGTAGACGTCTGTGGAGTTGCTGAGGAAAGTTGCTTCACGAAAGACGAAACTAAATTAATTGCCACCGTGAAAGAAGCAATCTGTGATGAACAATTATCTACTCCTAGTGACGAAGTGAGCATTATAGATACTTCATCTCGAAGTTCTTCAACTGAAATGTTACTTCCTATCGCGGAATGCACTTCAACTTCTGATGGATCTATTAGTGATATCGTCAAGGGTACGCGTATTTTTATTTCCGACTTTAATGAACAGAAATTATATATAAAACAGTCCGAAAAAATTTTACATTAATAAAATTAATATTAATTTTATTCATTTTGTACAGACGATGATCAAATGCAACGACGCTTATTGTGCGACAAGGGACATTTGCTTGAAATAGAAGCTATCTTTGTCAGTAGAGCGTTACGAGAATTCATAGAAAGATATCATTTTGTTAAATGGAAAGAGATGCCAGAGACACTTCAAGAAAAATTAACAGAGAAAAAGAAAATCGTATCGCGGAATATGACAGTTCAGGACATAACAGATTTTTGGAATCGATATAATGAAATTTTCCCAGCCAAAAAAGAACGACTTTGGGATGGCTTGTTAACCGGACTTAATAAATATCACGAAATATTAAAAGAACGACATAATTTGAATATTGAAGTGAAATCTTTACAAACGCAAAATGCAGAGTTACGCCGTTTATTGAAAACATACACAATCCAAGTAATGCCAGCAAATAATATATATTAAATATCACATTATATTAAAAAATATTTGAAATACTAATAACTCGCATGCTTTTTTAGTGTGAATGTGATGGACTCTCGCAAAATGATGCACGATGTATTCGTGAAGCGACTTAGACTAATACTTGTAAATACATTTGATTTAAATTTCAATTAATTGTAGTTCATTAAATTTAGTATATCATTTTTTGACAACCAGAGTGAAATGTAAATATACATTATATCACTATATACGTAATTTTGTAACTTTTATTGGATAATGATCTATTGTCTTATCTAATGATTCAAAAGATGAACTCTACAAAAACTTTTGAATTATTTAATCTTAATATTAAGGAGATTACAACTTGATTGCTTTTATATATTATTTGAAATTCTTGTTTTTTTTTCTTTCTGCATAAAAATATTTCAATGATTTAAAATTTACGAAAATTAAAATTACTATTATGTATATTTACATTTACGTTATATTTATATAATCATAATTTATTAGTTAATAGGACAATATTATTTCAAACGAAGTATATAACTCAAATGAGACGTGCAAATTATGTAACTTATTGCGGATATGTAAAATTGCCAGATACAAAGCTGAGTGACAGAGATGGTATCTGTTGCTTGGGAGTCGTATTTCTTGGATGTTTTGGTCTTCTCCAATACGGAACAAATGCTTTGGATTTATTTGGATCTTTAAAAGATCTCCTCACTTTATCAGCATGTTTCTCCGAATTCATATGCTGCAATATATAAAAATGGACGATATTAAATTTTAAATCATACATTGTGGTATATCCTCGACATTTCTATATAATTATATGAAATACATTGTATAAAGTGAGATAAACCTTATCGTGAGATAAAATTAGATATGCACAAATATATATGTAAAAATATTGTACCACACTGTATTGAGATCCAGAGTTGAAGAATTTGTTACATATATCGCATTTAAGGTAGTCATTTTTCCTGGCAACAGACAATTTAGTACCAGTAGGCGACTTCAATGGAGGACCTTGGGACTCTTTCCCATCCCATTCACCTAAGCATCAATGTGCGATCAACACTATCTATATATCACAGCCGCAGAAGCGGTAATTTGTGATAATAAATCAGCTTGAACACTACATTCATGCTATAAAAAGATTGGTCATTAATGAGCGTATAATATCAGGAACATATAATTACTAAGAGTATCTCTGTAATGTGTAAAAATAAAGTGTATTTTCATGCGAAAATAATCCATTAATTTACAAACTTTTTATAGCAATATAAGGGATTGTATATAAATACCTATAGAATATTTTTATTAAATATAATTTTTACATATTATTTATAATATTTATATA